CGGAGAATGAAACATTATAGTAAATTGGTTGTACAAATACGCTCATTCAGGATGCACGTTGAATACCTCAGATTAGACATCGTACTGCACTGTAGAGACACATCGGACGCACCATGGGTGACAGGCTAATTTCCCACCGAAGAAAAATCCGCACGAAAAATACTTACTTTTAAATAACACATCATTCGTTTTGGTAAAAACACACACAAAAAAAGTTCCCTTTGACAATGTTTTTTTCTTCAAATATGTGTGTATTCGCTTCGTTTACGTGTGTATCCAACTACAATGAACGTCTGTAGAACCGTCTGGCGAGGAGGACGTTCTCAGGGGGGAGATTGTGCCAACGGGGTTGGTCTGCCATGCTTGTGGGATCTGTCGCTGCCAGCATCCGCTCGGTGTTGAATTCGAAGGATTACTTCGAGTAATAAAACAAAACAAAACAAAAAATAACACGACTGGTTCACTTTACAGCGCGGTTGCCTTCCCTCAGCGGAGGGTATAGGCTACAGCGCCCACAGGCATCCGACCGTGTGTGTCGTACCTTGAGCGCCCTCGCTTTGCCCTATGCGGAACGCAACTACGTCTGCTTCTTTTTGCAAAGATTGTGGTGACGTCCAAACGACGAGCCCTGATTGGCTCTGATTGAAAGATAGTTGGTAGGCCTAGAGGCAGCTAGCTTTGATGTCTACCCACTATCTTTCAATCAGAGCCAATCGGAGCTTGGCATTCTGACGTCACCACAACCCCTGCAAACGAAGCAGACGAACTTGCGCTCCGCATACTCCGTTTCACCTCAAGTCCGACCACGGCCCGACGCTACGAGTCGATGGAAGCAATCAAGCAGGGCAAAAAGTGCATCGTCATGGCGCTCGTCGTCTTTGTGCGTTTACCGGCTAAACCAATCGCGCGTAAAAGGGCAGCGGGGGATCGCGCCGCATTTATTCTAGCTGATCGGTTTAGCCGCGTCTGCTCGATTGGTTCCGTGGGATCGCAGATTGGCATATGTGGTCGGAGACTCGAATGTGAAACGGAGTTGTCTGCACGCCCGTTGCGGAGGCTCGGAATTACAATCTTTTCTGGACGTTTCAGGTTCAGTAAGCTCGCCCCCAGCCCCAGGTACGTATCATTGCTACGGTGGCCTGCCCTCGATCGCAAACCCCCTCTGACTAACGAATGAAGGGTTGATGCGATGGACCATTCCGCTTTTTGCATGGTATGTATCTGGTGCTGGGAACTCTGTCGTCCTTTTTTTTTTGTTTCACTTCCAACTTTACTACTCTACCCGTTTTTCTCCCTCGTCGGTTGTGTCCGAGTCACTCTTGCACGATCACTGTTTTACTGTGTGACGTCATTCCTTTGTGACGTTTTCTGGACTTACCCGTTTTCTGAACTCGTACTACACATTTGGCTGTCGTGAATGAGAATGCCTCGTTTCCACGGATCCTTCACCTTCTTTTTCTCACGCCTTTTGTTAAAAATCATTTGGAACTGAAAGCAGGATTGAACTATACAAAACGCGCTCGCACTATCATTTAAAAAAATACAAAAAAAATCCTCTTGTTTTTGGGTTGTTTAAGCGCGCGTATCCCCTGCGCCATTTCCATTAAATCGAACACATTGTTGACCGCAGTGTACCGCGTCTACTTCAAGACCACTACGGTGCGATGAAAACATTCTTTAAAACCAGAGCGTTGTTCAAGACCACTCCACAAAGAAAGATATGCGGACGCAGCGCGCAAACTCACTGTTTGTATGACTTTGGCTTCATATCTACGGGAGAAACCGCACGATGTGGTCACATTCTGACCACCGTGCTCGCCACAATGCGCGCACTGATAGTACTTGAGCTCGGACTACCATGGTATTTGCCTACTGACTGCTCAGTTCTTCACTTTACTTGTTCCAACTTCCAAATAACTCAAATACGAAAAAAAAAAAGAAATTGACGCGACAATAAAAGAAAGACATCGCGAGCGCTGTTCACTTTCTAAAATCATGGCGTTTTTGACCCGTCGACTACGGAGCTGAAGAATTAACTAAAGTACACGCTGAAAAAAAGAAATTAAATTTAACATAAAGAACGAAAGCAAATAACGACGGTCGAATCACACGTAACTAGGTTATCAGAAATATACTTACAAAAAGTTATTTTGTAAGTATATTCTGGCCAGTGTTCAAAGCCGGATAAAATATAAGATTAGTCCTGTATAGATTCTACGCACCGCTTACCGTACATTTGGAGGCAGTGACGTGATGACAATTAGGTTTTAAACTGAAGCACGTGCTTCTTTGGAGAACGTGCTTCTTTAGAATAAGATCATTTCTATAGAACGATAAGAGGGACTCTTAAAAGGTCTGAAGTTTCGAGAAGTGGGATCAAACCAAGTTACAAACAACATAAAAAATGTAACTACTGAACTGTTTTTCCTTAAACTTATCACGGGAAACTGGATTAGAAATCAGTTACGATAGCTGCAGCTCTATGTGGGAGATTACACAATATCTTTAATATCCTCCGCCTTGGGACCTAATTACAACATCGGATTACTTCTTTAATGTCGTGCGCGATTCAGTAAAGCTCTCGCTTCGAGTTTTTCAGGTTCTTCATCAGTTCGTTGGCCCCGCGCAGTTGTGCTGACTGTTGCTTCGCTCCCAGAAAAGAAAATGCAAGCGCAGTTAACTTTTTTTGTTTTCGCCGGCGTTCTGGTGATTAGTCGGCACCCGAGGAAGTGCGATGGAGCAGGTTTCGAGATAAGATTTGTCACGTCCACGTTCTCTTCAAGAGAGCAGAACTTAAGTCGCTCTGATTTCAAAAGTTTGCCATCACACTGTTCCTGGTCGTATTGGTCGAATTGTTTCGTTCTTCTCACGTGCCTGTACACATACGTACAAGTGTCGTCTGTACTGTATGCTCACGACTTCCGTATCTTCCACTCGTTTGTAATGAAGCTTGTCCCTCTTTGTTTGTTTGGGGGTTTCTTTTTTAAAGTCGGTTTCATTCGTAGACGGTTATTGAGTTTATTGACGGATACAAATGTAAATTATTTCGTGTGCTCTTTTACATGACTTTTACATTTCTAAGGCAAATTCTACAAAAACATTATATTTATACAGCTCAGAAAAGGGTTTCAAGCTTTACACGATCGTACAGATTTTCAATTATTATAAATATACGTGCTGAATCGATGGCAGTTTTTTTTTTTTATGTTTATACTGATCTGTGGTTTGGTTTTAAATTTTGATCAAAGACCATCCAGTTGGTCGTACTGCACATTCTCTGGTTTATGTCGCCCAGGTTATATATATATGTTTTAGTTTCGTGTGGTATCACGGCAGACGCGATACGAATCCCTTGATATCGTTCTAGACTATTTCTGGTGAACTTTCCTCTGACCTCTCAAATGCTTCATCAGGTGGTGTTTCTTGTGTAATTCTTTCTTTCTTTTATCATTTCGAGACAGTTTGACATACGGGTTATGCTGCTCGACATCGCATGCGTATTGCCTGTACAATGTATGTAGGCCTACTTGCGCAACTCATTAAAGTGGGTAGCGTATTCCCGCCAATAATGGCCTGTGATGTAATGGGATGCTTTTTGTGGAGCCGTATTACGTCGGCTAGTTTATATTTTGAGAAAATAAAGCAAGCGTTTAGCGTCTCTGCGGAACTACTATTTATAATGCATCAAAGAGAAAGCAAAAGAAAAAAATGCCTCATTAGCCAATTAATTTAGATCTGCAAATATTAAAACTCCGCACGCACATATGCAACGAAGTTAGAAGAATCCTCAAAAATGGAAGGCAATGATCTTGTTTGAAAAATGAAGTACAGAAACATGCATGCAGCATAGCGAGAAAACCATGTCTCAGGTCGAATGTCAGCCACAAAGTACGCGTCTATCATCCGTAACGCAGGGTCTTCAAGAAGTCTTCTTATAACCTGATCGATTGCAGCAAGTACGTAAATAGTGCGAAGCAGACGACTTATAGGGTGACCACAAAAAACTGAAAAAGTGTGAGGAGCTTGCATTTATTTTATTTATGATTACTTGCAGAAATGTGCATCACCGTCGTCTTTTGTTGGTTCACATAACACCGCTAGACAACCATGCACTTGTCTTGACATACTTTTTTTTTATACTACACTAACGTTGTGGTTTAGGACCCATTCATATTCCGGATCAATACTCAATGACTTCTGCCTGTTGAATGAATAACCACATTTTTAACTTTCAATAACATAAAACAAAATCCTACCAGGATCCTCTGTTGCGGTGATACCATTCTCCTAAAGCATTGTCAAATCGTAATAAATAAGACTCGTCTGATACGTGCATTTCTAGAAGCTCATGTAAGTTCCGAGTATTTCGATTGGAATTTGCCCGCTGAACTTCCAGCTTAAATAATTGGTGCGTGAGATTGGAGGTAGTAAACTTTCTACAGGTATTTTACTATACAGATTCAAAAAGACGCCCTACAAATCTTAACAAGCAAGCGACTGACAGTGCCCCCACGACGGCAGCCGCCGTGTCGAAACTTGCTCGCGTTACGAATCTGTTTTTGGAGGCTCGAAACGATTTTAAATCGTCAGGCCCGCGACGGCCCTCGACACTGTTGCATATGCGTTTCGCTTGCCTGTCTGCTCGGTTTGTGGAGGGCACCATAATTATTTCTCTTTCGTTCCGCGATTAAAAGCATCCGAGAAAGAGCATTGCCATTCAGCTCGATGAAAGGGCAGTTTGCAGGCGAGCTGGTTTAACGCATGTTTCGTGGAAGGGCCGCGACAAACACACTTAGTGCTTGTGTTTGTCCCGTTCCCACGCTCCAGGGTCACAATTTGTATGAAAGTCAGTTCTGTATTTCCCGGGTAGCCAGACGCTTTATTTGACCGCGGCAACGTTTCGGTCCGGAGCTTATGAGCACACACAACACAAACACTGAAACGTCACTCGAGCAGTTTGGGAACCTATGGTTCGACGTGTTTGTCTCTCGTGGTGGCAGCTCCGAGTCGGCAGTTCGACGTGGGCACGACGTACAAATACAGCCTGGCGAGTGACGTGTACTTGAACGAAGCGACGTCCAGGCCCTCCGACAAGACCGGCCGAAGCGTGGGCTATGGACTGCGGGCCAGCACCGCCGTCACCTGCCTCTGGAAGAGTCCACGGGACCCTCTCAACAGGCTCTTCCAGATCGAGGTGCGTATCTGTTGGCGTTCGTGAGACTCGTTTAAACGCTTAATAGCAATGAACTATAGCCGCGGATGTATCTACTAGTGGCAGCTGTATACCTTTTGGATTTATTTAAAATTAACCAAAGGGAAGAGATCATCATACCTTTATCGGTGTCCTAGACCAGCAGCATAACCAGCAACAGGAGCAGTGATGGTATACATGCCCGGGCTCCAGCACGCGTTTGTCGCCCTCCGCCGTGCTTTGTCTGCGCGTGCACGCTCGAGGCTCAAGAGATGCCAAGAGCGTTATCGAATGTGGGAAGCTCGCGTTGGAGGCAAGGCAACTGAAGGCCTGCCGTGTCGTTCTCACCCCGTCAGTGACTGAAGTGAGTCGCGCTATCGACAAAATGTTCAAATCAAGACATATGCTTGGGTGAATTCGCTCTTTCAATTTTGTGAGCGATAGCGCGAACTCTGCTGTCTATATATATATATATATGACTGCAGTCTCAGCTTCAGGGTAAATGGAGTATATACTCCGTTCACTCTTAAGCTGAGACTAGAAGCTCCACCTTCAGCGCGAGCCTTCTGCCTTGGCTAACACAGGTGTGAACGCGCAGGCAAGCGCAACCAAAGCACTCCGGAAGCCAGCGAGCTCGCGCTCAAGGTGGGGCTTCTAGTCTCAGCGTAAACGTGAATGGAGTATAGTAGATCTTCGCCTTCAGCGCAGGCTTTCCGCATTTGATAACACTTCAGCGCACAAGCAGCCAAAGCCGGAAGACACCGAGCACGCGTGCTGGAGAATGAGCTGGGTTCAAATCGAGCTGCATGAAAACCATCGTCCCTTTTGGATTGGATTTATGATGGTTCAAAGATTGCACGTGCGCATTTACTAAACCGATGGTGCGCCCTCGCGAATACTGTTCCTTTTCGAGGTAATTACTCTGTTTTTTTTTTTTATCTGCCGACCTTTGACCCTCCCACCCGCGTTAATTGCAGCTGTCCAACGTGCACCTGGCCGTGGTACCGGCAGAGTCCCCGGAGGCCGAGCGCAGCCAGCACGCGTCTCAGTGGGACTCCGCGTCTCCCCTGCCCCTGTTCGTGCTGCAGCAGAGCAACGAGGTAGTCAAGGTCTGGTCGCACCAGGAGTCCCTGGACAGCGTGAACGTCAAAAAGGCCGTGGCCAGCATGCTCCAGTACCAGCTCACACCGGAGGACAAGCAGCAGGTTCGTGGGAGTCGCCCTTCTGAAACCTACGCGAATCTAAGAGGCATCGAGGTTCTCCCACATCTGTCATCTTGGTTTATTGCTCCCTGTTGTGTTTGTTTTACCTCGCCTTTGAGGGCCGCGTTAAGGCTGGTTCACACATTTGCGTTTGACTGTGATCGAGTGCGTTATGATCTTCTGTAACCGCTTAACGCTAGACGCTAGACTTGAGAGTGAGCAGTTAAAACAATAGGAAGCGTTCGCAATTTACTGGCGGACGCCTTGTGCGCTTGCGATTAGCTCCTATTGCTAACACGGCCCATAAACCAAGTTACCTTGATTTGAGCGGTTGCAAACATTCTGGAATCTAGGCACACCACTTAACACCCTCTCATTCTGATGTCATTCATTAGGTAGGTCTGGAACACTTCCGACCTTTGTATGATTTGACTGGGGGTTTTTCAGTTTGCGAAATAACATCTACACACACTTATGAGCAATTGTAGCTTAGAGAATTGTCAGAATTATTTAGAGCCCACGGCAATAAAAGTGATGCGTAAACAAAGATAAAAAAAAAAAAAACGAATATATACACGCAGGTCAGACGTGTTCTACGGCAGCCCTAAAGATGGCACCAGTGCGTTAAGTAGAGAGCCTGGATTGAAGAGAGGGTCCATCTGAAACCATGGGGAGCGTTTGCAATTTAATGGCGGACACCTCTGCGGCGGACAGTCACAAGTGGCCATATGCTCTGCGTTTTCGCGTGGCAAGCAGGAAAGCAGGAGATTAGAATAGAACGCGAAAGAACGCTAAAACAAAAGCAAATAACACTTTTTAACTAGGTAAAAATATAGTTATCTAGTAAGAAGTTAAGCAGTGAAGAGTTAATTAAGATATACCTCCCATATACAGTAATTCTTTTTTCCGCATTGTTATCAGTGAGGCGAAATTAAAATCAATCTGCCATGTAAAACAGAAAAAAAAAAACACAAAGAAACATCTAGAGGTAAACAATCACTATCTTCTAGCAACAGTATTTTAAATCAAACTATTCCGAGTGATTTGATTTTTTTTTTTTCACTCTGTTTTGGACAGGGGGCTGGATATGTTCGATCCTTTGCATGCCGAAATTGACCTAGGATCGTTGAGCCGGCATTGAGAAGGTTTCGTGATTGCTTGCGTTTAAGCATCGTGGTTCGTTTTACGTTTATGAAATTAAGTACTGACGTAATTTAAGATAAGACGCTGCTTATTTCTTCTGAATCCTGTACGCCATTTGTTTTGTTTGTCACTCTTCCGATCGCGTCAGTCTAAGACTTCAAAATGGGATACACCCGAAACGCAGTATATTGTATAAATTAAGGCAAGATAGCCCTAAAAGCCAAAATACAATTTGTAGGTCTTAAAGAACAGTGCTGGGGCGTCACGGAACCCAGCCCCTGCCTGTTTTTATCTCAATAAGCATCGTGCCCGCCTTCGGTCGTGTAAACACTAGTGCATCGTCAGACCCCAGGTTAGCATTCGTACTGCGCAGGCTAAACTGCTTATCTACAGTGTGAAGCAGTGTCGCCATACCTCAGAAGCAGACCCGTCTGTAACAGTGAAAACATTTAACATATATTTTACATTTATTTTAGCTACGTTATTAAGAAGGGGAAAATTCTTGCGTTGAAAAGACAGCGTTCGTACGGTGTATTAATACACCGGATTCTAGAAGGTAGCACGAGTAATTGTAATCAGAAGAAAGTATATATAGACGGCAGCACGAGTAATTGTAATCAGATAATAAAATATATATAGACGAAGCAATCTTGAATTTGATGAAGACTCATATAGGAGTGCGTCCTGCCTGACCCGTAACACGTTGATAAGGGTCGCAGTTTCGTTAATGTTTTATAATATCTGCCATTGTAGTGTGCTTATCTTCCCTGACGGACACATCGTTTAAAGAAATGAGCCTCTTTATTTATTTATTCGTTTGTTTTTCTTGTGTCTAGAAACAGCCGAGGCATACCGAAGGTGATGGTAAACGCTGAGACTGGGGTGGGAAAGAGTTACAACAGTAAGAAAATGGAAACAAAGTGGGACATACAACACCGACAAACAGCACCTTAAAAGTGAGGCGCTCTTTGTTTAATTTTTTTCCAGTTTCTCGTGTTGTCTTAACTCTTTTCCACCCAAGTCTCAGGATTTATAATCACGTTCAACATCGTTTAAGTTGGTTCTTTTCGCCAATGTTACCGTCATAACGAAGACCAAAGCTTTACGGCGGTCTTATTTTCTGGCTTCACTTTTCCAGGTTGATGTCTCAGGGAAGTGCCAAGTGAGCTTCAAGACGAACGGAAACCACGTGACGAAAACCAAATCTGGATGCACGCATCCCGACAAAGCCCAGTTCTTTCACCCAAACCCTGTAGGTTGCATTTGTTGATTTCGCTCGTCGCCGTTGATTTTTATTACGGCTGCTTTTGCATCTACAAGCTTGTATAGAAGCTGAAATTATGTGGAACTTTGGTTAGAAAATAAGAATGGTTAATGTTTAGCAAATCATGAGCGGACATTTGAAGGTGATTGCTCATCTCCTGATTCAAGACGCGTAACCGCAACTGCAAATATTAGAGCTTCGTGGTGATTCGTTTTGACGAACATTCCTGTAAGGAACTTCACTAAAAATCAACATGTTCCTCATTCTCCGTGACCCCCAAAATTTTGAACGTCAGCCATACAGCCAAATGTCTTTGGTCCCCAGAATCTTCGTGTCGAATTGGCTAGTTTTCCTTTCACTAATAGTCAACATGCATCTTTAATTTAAGAACTATGAACATGTTCACTGAATTATAATTGCTTATAAATAAATAAGAAAACATACATAATAAAGGTATTTGTTTTACTGATGATGAATTACAAAAACAAACATCGCCAAATTTTATATTAATCTTAAATTTAGCGTTTTATAAGGTTATATATATATATATATATATATATATATATATATACTTTTTAAGGTCATATATAAGTTATATAAGTATACTTAAGGTCATATATAAGTTATATAAGTATACTTAAGGTCATATGTAGTGAATTAACCTAAAGTAATAAAATAATTTAAATAAAATAAGATATAGTAATCACAATTCGGGGGCAATTTCGTGCGCTTGCACACTTTGACCGCCGACCGATGCTATGCACGCGTATTTTTTCCGTTCTTCAAAATGGCCACAGAAAGTTGTGCCAGAGTGCAAACGAAGAGAACGAACCTCTGGGACGCCAAACTGCCACATCTTTTGCGAGGTCACATCGTTTTTGTTTTTCTTTTCCTTTTAGATCCAGTCTCCGACGATAGTGTCCCAGTCGGAGTCGGCTTACGAGCTGCTGCCGGACTTGACGGCACCGAAGAGCGTGCACATCAAGGAGGATGTTACCATGTTCGTCAACGTTTGGAAAGAGGCCAACATTCGAGTCACCGCGGAGTAAGTGAAATGCGTCGGGCTTGGATCAGGTTTCGTCTAGCCGGTACCTTAGAGGTTCAATCTGCGGACAAGGTAAAACTAAAATGACTTTTAGTATTTAAATTTTGTGTTTCTAGTAAAAAAAAAATGTATTGCATTCCATGGAACACAGTTTAAATTTAGATGGCGCTTCAAACGACGGGAGGCGGACTGAAGGGGGTGAGGGGTGGTGCCCTCCTCCGCGGGAGACCCTCAGCTAAGCTATACTCGCAGCCAACTTTATGTGGCATTTCAGAAGTAGTGAAGAGTGCGCGTGCACAGCTTTGATTGGCGCTCAAGGTACGCGAGCGCCCGTGCTCCCATCGCTTTGACTGCATAGCCACAGAAAGTTGTCCGCGAGTATAATCTATTGATGTTAGCAAAGACGGACCGCGCTGTCGGGTGGTGGGTACGGCGCAAGTTTTTAGAGCACCACTTTAGGACCCACATGGTCGACCGAATAGTCGTCCGCCGCCTTGACATGGCGCGCGGGAAGTATGCTGCTCACACGGCCGAAGGGCGGACACCGGCACGCGCACTGCCCATGTGTCGGCAAAATTGAGTTATAAACAAAAAAAATTAACAGCTAGCCAACCCGACTCATGTTTGTGACGTAGTTATAGCGTCATAAAGAGTTTTCGTAGATCGTTTCCGCCACTTCGCAACGCTCTCCGCGGAACTCGATCGCTATGAGATCCAGAACTCTGCCGACAAGAGTAGCGGCCCGTATGCGCTCTAGTGGCGGAAATGATCCACGAAAACTCTCTAATTTTAGTCGTGCTGGACATCGCCCACTGAACTAGCCGATTCCGTTGGATCTCCGCATGGCGGATTTTGTCGTTGACCAGTTTGATAAACATTTCGACGCAGCGGGATGATAATTTTTCAATTGGGGTCTCAAATGACACTAAAATGGGCAATGTTTCTTTTTTTTTTTCTTTTTTTTTTTTTTTAATTGTGCAGAGTTGCTTTTTAAATTACCAAGTGTCTAAGCGCTGTCGTTTGATGGCGTCCGTGGTCCAACATACTTAGAAAACGGCTGCACTCATCGAGCAGCCGTGGTCTAAATATATTGTCTGTTCGTTACAAGCGATGACACTGGTGAAATTGTCCGAGTAGCTTATTCTTCGATATCTCCTACTTTAAACAATGGCACGCAGTATTTAGAAATAAATAAATTATGGAGCTTATATCGCAGCAGATTTCGTGGACCATGCTACACCAAATGACGTAATCGTTTTCTTTCTGTTTTGTTTTAGAGCGCAGCTCTCTTAGGCACTTGTTTGCGCCTTGAGCGGTGTCGGCGTCGCCGTCGCCGTCGGCGTAACCGTCGTCGTCGGCGTAACCGTAACGCGTAGGCGTCACCGTCAGCGTAACCGCGGGGTGCATTATGAGAAACGTCCCATAATGCACCGCGGTGACGCGCGCGTTGCATTATGGGACGTTTTCCCATAATGCACCGCGCGGAAGGGAGGAGGGATGAGGAAGGGGGAGGAGAAGGAGGAGGAGGGGAGGCATACAGTCACCTCCGTACCCTCCCCTCCTCCTCCTCAAGAGCTGCTCTCTAATTCGGCTTTACGGGGAGTTGCAAACGTCTTTCATTTTTTTTTACTTCACTTTCGGAACGTTTTTATTTGGATTTGGTTAGACTACGCAGTAATGAAACATTTAGTAGATATAGCTTAAAATATGTTAGCATTTATTGCCCTGGTGCACGCAGCCGTCTTTTGTTTGGACAGTCGTGGTTTGGACGGACTGGTTACGCGAGGCCGCTGCGCGGTTCCCGCCACGCTCTTTCGCTCCGTTCGTTCGCTTATTACGTCCACTTTCCCTCTTACGAGGGGGAAGGAGTTGGAAGGAGTCTTCTGGCACGCTTCCTATGACGCGCCGCAAGAGCGGGAGAAGAGGACATCGAGCTGGCCGTGGCGGTGGCACAACGAACTGGACTACGTAAAACCGATGCGCAGCGCGACGATGCCGTTTGTGCGAAACCACCGAAACCCGAGAGGAAGGATATTGGCTTTTTAATACAACAGTATGTAGACCGTGGGCGGTAGTCGAGGATAGCTGTGGAGGCTGCATCCGAAACCGGCGACGCTCGGGAGAACGACATTATGCGGACCGTTGCGAGGTTGGAATTTCCCTAGTTCCCCGAGTCAGCTCCCCTGCGCTAAATGTTAAAGCGTTTCGTCAAGAATCGGCGTAGCGGCAGCAGCGATTTTGGAATCCTTTTTTATAACTATAAGAGCTAGCTTTTGCACAAAGGGGCACACGAATTGCCGAAATGAGCGCAAGAAAGATGATCATTTGCCACTAGGTAATTGCCGGTGGTCGCACGAAGGTTCCTATGACGTGGAAACAAAATAATCGCATACGGCAGAAAAAAGACCACATGGCTCCCCACCGCCATATATATATATACACACACTGGGAGTGAGGAAACATTGACAAGTGGAGCCGTAGTAATATTGTAAAGAAAGAGAGGAGAGAGTGATTAATAAATTTATTACACTAAAGTTAGGGGAAGAGAGTTGGACCAGGAGCGGCCCAATTTTGTGTGTGTGCGTATGCATGTATGTATGTATGAATGTGTGTATATTTTGTTATTGAATGATACCGACAAGTTGTTCAACGTCGATAACAAAAAAATGGCAAACACGCAATTAGATTATTTGATTGTCGCCCTACCGGGACGTCGTTCACACTGTCGGCGTCGACTTCGGCATCGCTCTGCTTTGATTTTTACACTAGAGTTTCTCATTGCTCCCATTGCAGTTTTACTTGTAGCAGTCTGTACTTACACTTCCTTTCGATCATTAACGCACATGATGCCAATGGTTCTTTTCACTTTGGGATTTCAGACACACCTTTAGGTTGGAGGGCACGTCGCCGTCCGCGAAATCCTTTGTCGCCAACACTGAAGTCGAAGTGATACAGCAGCTGACGGCAGGTAATGGACTCCTCGGTAGTTTGAAGTATGCAGTGCGACTTGCCCGTGAAGGACGTGTTACTAACTTTTGTGCCTTGCGAACTCGCGTTAAGAGTTTCGTGTCGTATTAACTAATTTCAGTTATTCGGGGAAAATTAATTTTGTGACAAATGTGATTCTGGAGCATGCTTTCATTTCGGGGGTGATGTTTCAAAATAGATGCACGTGTCGAAATCTCTGCTAACTGAAGACGCGTATTGCGACGCGAATATTTCTCTTCGGGGAAAGTTTGTTTTGTCGCATCCCATCCCGGCACATACTTTTTGGTTGTTGTGGGCTTTATAATTTTTTTTTTAAGAAAAGCGAAAAAAAGGGAATAGGGAAGGCAGTTTTTTTTTTTTTTTTTTTTTTTTACGAGCAGTATTTCTTGAGCGTACCAGACTAAGCATAGTTGCCTAGCAGCAAATATCCTATCGCTTGACAAATGTAAAATTTTGACAAACCTGTGCAGGGAAAAAGTTGGTGGAGGACACGATAGTGGCCAGACCAGAAATAAAGAAGTGCACGAAGAATTGCAAATCCGTGGGTATTCATTATTTCTTCATGAAGTTTACTATTACATATCTCAATCTCTCATTTATGCCTACTTATCTTAAAAAATATAGTTTCCGCAACACTTATCCCTGACGACTCTCCTATACATTTTCACGTTCAATATCGATGTTGCATTCTTGGTGTAAACAATTTAGGATCCCTCGAAAGCAAGATAGAATGAATGCATGCCGATAAATTATCAGTAATAACATGACCCATGTTGAAAAGGCCGTTATTGAGCAGAAAAATAAAATCTTTAGCATGAGTCAATTGTTTCAAGTTTTGCGTAATCAAAGAAAACATTTTAATTGCTACCCCACTTACCTGCATATTCTAGTTCCTATATTTGAAATAACCATGAACGATTCTTTACGACAGTATCCGCACATCTCAGTGCTATACGCCAATGCCATTTTGAAAGCAAGAACACCTAGCTAACAGATCGTGTAAATTTGTTTTGTTCACTACAAGCTGGCCGAAAACGTAAAGTTGTTCGAGGCGAACTTGCGACCCAAGAGTTTGGCCACGCTCAAGTCCTCGGTGTCTTTCCTGCGGCTGCTGCAGAGCTTCAGGGAAGCGTCTGAAAAGGACATTCACGCCGTCCTCAAGAGCGGAAAAAACAAAAAGATTGTGTGAGTGCATCACTGTTCTTTTTATGCGACATCTTCAGCAAAATTAGAATTGTTGAGCGTACAATTAAGTTGTGAAAAATTTGGCTGATGAGCATGTTCCTCCCTTTTAGTAATTGTGATGAGCCTTCATGATTAATAGATGTTTTATTTTACAATACATTTTCTATAATTAATTATACCACAATTGAATGTAGTTATTCTGATGTTCATGATTCTTGGGTATTGTCTTAACCTTGCTTTTTATTAGTGACGTTATCTCATAGGACAGTCGTTTAAATGTATGTACTGATGTAAATGATGATTTCTGTGTTCATTTTTCATAATATTTTGCTCATATTTTGTTTGTGTTATATATATATATATACGTATATATATATATATATTTCTGGTGATTCTTCGAAGCTGTTCCTCTATGCAGGGTGTTTCTTTGTATATGTGACAGAACAGGCTCGGCTGACGTTAGATGGGGAAATATCTATCACGATCCGTCGGCTAATTAACTAAAATAGCCTAATGAACTTTTTAAGTATTGGTCTTATAAGTCATGTACCAATTGCAGTTTCTTGAAGCCAATTATTAATAATGGTTAGGAAAATTTATACAATTTACGAAAAGACAATTGTCTTTGACATAGTTAGCTATACGATTTTGAATATTCGTCGGCATTTCAAAAAATATGCTCACGAAGCGCGCAAAACACTGTGTATAGTGATTATAGGATCCATCGAAATCACATACTACAGGGTAATTCAAGGAGAGGCTAGGCTCTTTAAATCGACTGCAAAATTCGGTTTCTTAACCTATCGCGCTACGACTTTGTGCAGCGTTGCCCACAGATGGTGCATTTTTTTTTGTAAAATTTGCGAAGAGCGGAACTTACCTGAGGAAAAAGCAAAGAAAGAAAAAGGCTTAGCTCCTATGGAAACGCAGCGACGCCACCGGTCTTCAAACAACACGGCGCCATTTCGCACGGGAGCCAAGAGATGGCGCAACGAACGCCGCCAACGAACGAGCATACGGCGCCGAGAGCCGGCGTCTTTAGCAGACGACATTTTCGACTCAAAAGTGGCGCGCGTTCCGCAGGCGGCGACAGTCGCAGAAACAAAAACAGGCGCGGTAACAACAAGAAACTGCAGTTCCTTGTCTGCTAAATACGCCGGCTCTCGGCGTTTAATGCTCGTTCGTTGGCGGCAGTTGGCGTCGCGACTGCTTGCGCCATCTCTTGTCTCCCGTACTAAACGGCGCCGTGTTGCTTGAAGACCGGTGGCTTCGCTGCGTTTCCATAGGAGCTAAGCCTTTTTCTTTCTTTATTTTTTCCTCAAGTAAATTCGCTCTTTGCAAATTTTACAAAAAAAAAAAAAAATGCGCCATCTGTGGGCAACGCTCACAGATGGTGCATTCACCATCTAATTGTAATGTCTGCTGACCTTGATAAATGCATGGTGAATATAGCACCCGTGTAACTCTCACCCCTTTAAAAAACTGTTCAGGTTAAAAATAAAAAAAAGAAACCTGCAATATAGGGCTTATAAAATTAAAATAACACTTGGTCTTAACGTCTGTTACATCACGTGAGTGTAGTGTTTCAAAGTTAGCGGCTAATCTCTAAAGTACCGTTCAAGCAGAAACCAGGTGACTGGAATATTTTACTACACTTGGTTTTATATAAATACTAAACACACAAAAGGGTCACTTATATTAATCATAGTGGATCACTGTCCTGTTATTGTTGTCAGATTTAATCATGACGTCTATCCACCAACAAAAAAAAAAAAAAGAAAAAAAAGAATAACCAGACCTTCTTTTTTTTTTTTTCTTTTTTTTTTACGTGCAGACCACAATTGTTGGATTTAACAGCAGCAGCTCAGACCCTGGCATCTGTGAAGGCCAGCTTGAAGTTTCTCGATTTCAACTCGGAAAATGACCTCGCTGAACGTTTCCTGGTCAGTCTGGTAGCAGCGTCACACCCGAGCTCATCTATTATCACGGAAATATTGGTGTGTACCAAGGGGAACTTCTTTTTAGATGGTTCTTCTAATTGTGAGTTTACGTGACCTCTAGGCATTTTTCTACCGCTGCAGGCAGTTGCCCAGAAGGACTTGAAGAACGAGAAGAACAAGGCGGCAGCCATTGCCACTCTCGGGGCCCTCATCAAAACCTACTGCCGCGCTCATCCCAAATGCGCCAAGCAAGGGGTAAGCACTGATCTGACGTTTTTGGCCAAATTTGAATCTACGGAGAACTAGCTCGGTCCGCCAGAACAGCCTCGCTCGCGAGGTGACTTCGCCTTATCACAAATAACAAATTGGCAGCTGTATTTTCGTTTATAGATACATATATGCAGAATTGCAATGTGCAAGAATTGGTTTGGTTTTCAGTGCTTTTTTATTAGCACACTCTGGTCAATCCCATGGAGTCATGGTGTGGTGTCAACTCATGCTGTCAAGCGACGCCACGTCACTTGGCACAGTCACACGTGACCCGACGTCACCTGCGACGTGACGTCAGATTACACCACTTGACACCCAACGTGACTGGATTTAATAGCGTTGACACCTTGACGTCAAGTGACCTGATGTCGTGTGACGGCAGGTCACGTAACGTGAAACGCACGCCATGGACGAGCACGAAACCTGCGTTATAGCTTCCATTAGATTGCAATAGACCCTTTTCAAAAGTGCGCGCCACCTAATGGTTGCTGCGTTAACTATTTGAGTCCGCCATTTTTTGGCCACGCTACTCCGAGCATGTAGTTTGGATACGAGGGCCGCATCTGCGTTGGGCGTGAACTCGGCTCAGCTCGTATTGAAAACGAGTGCTACGTCACCGTTCGGCGAGGACTCAGATTCAATCACGCGCTTCGCGCCCAAGAAATGGCGACCGCCAACGTTGCTCGATGGACTTTTGAGAAGAGTCTATTCTGCACTGATACGCAAGCTCCCTGATGGGCACACATGCTTCGTTTCAGCTTAAGTTTAGACGCAGCCGGCGCTACGAGCTAATATGGAACCAATCAAGCAGCGTCAAAAGCGCAAGTCATCGGGCCTTTTTTGTTTAAGATTGATGCTGAAACACGCACAGAAGCATCACGAACACCATGGTGGCGCGTTTTTAATGCTCTCTGATTGGTCCCATCAGCCCGTAGCGTCAACTGCGTCTGGAGTTGAGGTGAAACGAAGTATAGTTACTGACACCCTAATGAGTGCAGGGCCTGGCAAGCCGGAAGCATCTTATTATCGCTTCGTAGCCATTGAAACCGCATCATTAGCAGACAGGAAGAGCCAAGCGTGAGCATAATAAGCCGTACCCAGCATTTTTTAGCAGTGACTCCTGGGAAGGAGATCCAAACTTCGCGCTCCTAGTAGCTAAATTGAGAACTACACCGATGGGGACAACAAACAACATAAGTAGATTTTCTGTTTGCGTTTTGACGCAGCGCTCGACCCACGTAGCCGAACGTTGCGTCAGAGTTCGGCAGGGGCTCGTGTCCGTTCAGTGAAGCCAAACTTGGACAGAACAAAAAATTGGACACGAGTCGTGCCCAATCTTTGCTCCGCGCTCAATCGAGAAATATGAAAAAAAAAGAGAAAAGAATCCAGTGCACGTGCTTTGTGTTGGTAAACGTGGAACGCTGGGGAAAACAAGCAGGACGTAGTGCCCCCTATAGTTTGATCTCCTCACCAGTAAGCAGAGTCTCATGCCCCTTGGTGGAACTAGAATCGAGCGCTCGTGGTTTGTTCTATGCCAATGCTTGGAGCAACTGTGCTTTCGTACGCTTAAAAAAGGTATACATATCTCAGCAATAAGGAGATACGAATATCCTCCCTTGTTGCAAGGAAAGTGCACCGTGTCTTACCAACCCATCGCCTCAACTGCAGCCAATTAGCGCTGCCCTCAAGTTCATGGAGGGCGAGTTGGAGCGGTGCAAGCAGGAGACCTGCTGGCACACATACTTGCGAGGCCTGCAGAACGCTGCGCAGCCGTCGAGCATCAAGAGCATGCTGTACGCCATCCGGAAAGGCAGCAAGAAGGCCGTGCTCACTGCGCTGCGAGCTCTCAAGCAGATTGGAAGCGAGCACCTGAACGACGAGGCGAGTGTGATTACTGAGTACACGTAAATTAATTGATTCACGCGTATTTTTTTTTTTTTTTTTATAATTACACGTGCATTTTTTTAGGCGCCAAGTTAGATGAAATTTTGTTTTTTTAACTGCGTTTATCACTGCGTGAGTGTTCAGGTGGAACCGTAAAGAACGATAAAGGCTGAACTCCATGAAGCGAATTATGCGACGAATAACTGACGAACGCCGCCCGACGGCACGCTTGCTTTGCGCACGACATTGCAGCCACTGTGGTGATTCCACGCGCAGAGCAAAAGCCGCCGGGCAAAATTGGTCGATTTTTCGCAGCATATTCGTCCCATGGAGTTCAGGCTTAAAGTAATTATAGTATAAGATTTTACATGTACATAACGTTTCTTGAAATCTGGCGCTTATGCATGCCTTTAACATAAAAACAGTAAGCCGTTTTAGTTCATAAATGAAAAAAAAAGTGGCGCAAAAGTAACGTGCATTACTTTTTATCGGTAACAGTAACGCGTTCTTTTTGTTTTGAGATGATGTAGGTCGGTGACGCGTTCTTTAATTTGCAACTACTAACGATGAACGTATTTCGTCACTTCTTATTGGGTAACGCCTACAGGACTGTGGGACCGTTCTTTCGATGACGGACGAGCCCCATAGCGTGCTCGAAGACGCCTCTGAAAAATTGTAAACGCGTTCGTTTTCATTCAATACGCGATCTGGGAAGCCGTCAATGGCTGAACTCGCAAACTTGAAGACTATAGATTGAGGCAGACGCCCCTCTTCGTTTTAGGTGTACGACTTAGTGGAGAAGGTGTACGGCGAAGTGGACAAGAGGCACGACTCGACGGCACGTGCGCTCGCCGCCGAGCTTATCTTCCTGAGCTCCAGCCTTGGTCGTATCGAGAGGGTCCTCCAGCGGCTGCCTTCTCACGACGCTCCCGAGCTGTCCACGTTCATCACGAGCAAGCTGTTTGAGCTGCTAGACCACAAGAACCAAGTTAGGCGAGTGCATAGGACCTTGTTAGGAGCATAGAACCTTTGGGGGCATATAGGGACACTACACTACAAACAAATTAATGTATTCTTGCTTTGTTTCTATGAACAGGCTTTACGATTGTGAGATAGGTCAGGAAGCATCATTCTCCTTTTTATCTCAACTTCAGAACGATGCAGCTCTAACGACACGGTCGAGTGCTTGCCCTGTAGAGTGTTATCTCTACCTCGGAATTTTGAGTCGTCAAACCACTTATAAGAAATTCACGCTCGTGCGGTTACCCGTTTACTTTCGACACAATAGCATCAAACCTAATATTTATTTTTGTCTTCGTATTTTTACCGTTATTGTGCCAGTTTTTAGTCACGTTTTCTGCGTCGCCGCCAGTACTAAAATTACTGACCCAGTTTCATTGCATTACTAAGCCTCTCTCTGATGGGAAACCCTATCGGTAGTTCTGCAAAAAGACAATCAGCAAATTTTATTTGTGAACTACCCACTAGATCACTCTAGAGCCCCGTTAAGAGAACACTCCGATAACAAGAATTTTTTTTTTATGCGTTGTTTGGCTTTGAGTACCGAAACTACGTAATTGGGCGCAGTTCGTCAAATTAAATTGGATACCTTGCGATGAAGTCGTCGAAACCCAAAGACGATACTAAACTGCCTAACTGTTTTTTTTTTTTGTTTTTGGAAAGGGGGGGGGGGGAAGGGGGGGGTGTTGGTCTTTGTAATTTTTACCAGTCCCGAGTTGTACAGCACGTATGTGCCAAGTTTTTTTATTGGATATTCCACTCCTGGGTCTCGCTTGAACCGTTTAGCAAATAGACTGCTCTTCCGCCGTCGCGTTCTCGCGTATTTTGCAGCGCACCTTCTGAAAGGTAACTGTCCATATTTCAGGTTGTTCGCAGGAAAGGTGCTCAACAACACTACCGTCGGCAACTATTACAACCTGGCGCACGGCGGCTCGTCGGCGGCATTTACGAAATATCTGACAAGTAAGCGACGTGTTGCAGCTGCCGTTTCTGCCATCGCTGTGCAGTTTGTTCTTGACGGCCGCTGCCTTTGAAAACGCAGAGAGCGACGATCTGAACTCGACGTACGGAATCAACATGGAGCTCATTCCTGGCGGACTCCTCAAGGAAAGCTCGGTCGACGTAAGCCTGGAAACGCCCGAAGAGAGCCTCAATCTTCTCTCTGTGAGTGCCCTTGCATCGACGCCTTGACGACTATAATACATCTTCTGTCTTGTGAGTTATTCTTATGGGAGCGTGGTTGTTCGGTCGGCATACTATTTAAAGTATGGAAGTTTTTAAACAACGATGGCAAGAACCCAGCCATAACTCGCCGTCACTCTTTTTTTGGCTTTATATTTCGGTTACTTCCCTTTATGGTCAGACTAGAGGCTACTGTTCGTCAATACATCATGGTCGCTCTGGTCACATGTTTAGCCTCCGTATGGGCTCGTCATCGCCAGTTTTGAGTGCTCGGTAAGACATATCTATAGATTGTATACGGTCGGAGAAGGTAGGAGATTTTACCTCGACCTCTTTTAGTCTTCCAATGATGTTCTGCCATTCTTGAAGCGCGAGTGCCACTCAAACATCTCGCACGACTCGCTACTTCCTAGCTACAAGCCTGACGAATAATTTCAAATGCCTTTGTTCCAGATTTTCCGAGTTTGATGCAGAACTGATGTTCGATCTCGCTCTGGTTTGCAGTCAGCCGAAATCGCCATTTTTCTCGCGCCCGTGGTCAGAAAAAATTGGTCTAGTGCAGCTTGAAATGTTCGCAGAACGACGCCCTTTGGTATATTGAGACACGAAGACTCCTGCCTTCGACAGATGCGCGCGCGTCACAGCGTTGTCTTGTCTCTTTACGCTACAAAACTAGTCTCGGAAGTTCTGGATCGCACCTCGTACGTATTTTTAAAAGGCCGCCATGGTATTTATGTCGCACATAGAATTTATGTGAAGCTACAAAGTGTTCATATCAATCGTAAGAAAGGTATAAATCACGACCTACTGATGACGTGACCACAATTTATTCTAGCCATGGACGTTGAAGATCCCTCGGTGGTTTCAATCAGAGCTTGGGAAGCTATTTTCTCCACTTCGCAGGGTGATAACCTTGTCACACGGGAAATTCAAATTTTTTTTCACTGCCGTTACGGCAACGTCAAACAAAAACGTGAAAGTAGAATGAGTTTGCAAAAAAACATTCCATAGAGTCCTTTAACTTCCTCAAGTCGGTTTTTAAATAAAAATGGCGACTTACTTTTTCAAACACGCACACAAAAAAAAAAGGTTTTATGTAAATTTTTCGAAAATTTTAAGTTTATAGTGTGAAGAAATGAGATTACAAGTTCTTCCCCTTGCAACTGAGGGCCACCAACCTCACTATACACTTCTCAAAAACAGCGAGAAAGTAAGCTGAATGACATTTGCGTTAATTTACTTTGAGTGAATGCTAAACATGTGTTTATTTGTGTTTATTATAGACATTCAAAAGTATTATTTATTTCACGGGCTTTTTTTTTTTTTTTTTTTTAAGTTCTCAAAATTAAAGTTACTTAAGAACTGGCTGTCACTGACGTGCGTTTCCACGTGAATTGCTGAACACTCGATCGGTGATGTGCTGGATATCTTTCAACCTTGAGGTGGGGCTGTTCGCCGGCGGCTTGGGCAACGTGGCGGGAGGGGACGACGGTGGCAATGACGCCAGCCAGGAGGAAGAGGAGGCCACGGCCGGCATGAGGCTCATGCTCATGGGCGCCGAGCTCAGGCCCTACGTCTTCTTCGTGGGCACCTCAGAACTCATGGGACACGTCTGGTCCGGGACCGGGAGTGAACCGACGCCGGCCCTGCAGGTGATGATCATATTATTCCCCTAGCATGGATAAGGGAATATCGATGACTATTTATGACATGCACTTCGACCCGCTCCCCCCTCCCCCCCGCCTCCCCAATCTCCACTGATCGTTAGCTCTCAGAGCTATAGATAAAAGTCATGCGCTAGATACCGACTTCTAGTCAAAAACTAAAGAAGCATGTCTAATAAGTATATATAATCGATGTTAACAGCCGCTAACATATGGAACGTAAATGAAAATATTTCGTGGCGACGTCCGTCAAAATGTGTCGCAACTGGGACCTGAGCTTTAGGGATCATTCTAGACCATATGCTGCATGTCCTAATATTTATTTCAAGCATCAATCTAAACTTACAATTTGCCCTCCGCGCAATATAATTGTTCAGATTAAATAATCGGCACAAAATAAGGATAGGGCTTAACATTCCTAGTTTGTATCTTTGCAGCGACTAAGGTCGTTCCTAGCTCCTTCTGAACAGTGCACAATATCATCGAGCCGACTTAAATAGGCGGTCTCAATTTAGATCACTACATATATGGAAATCTCTTACACTATATTTACAAATCACGTACGCTGTGATTACCGGCGCTATTGTCTCGATGAGTCTGATTCAAGAGTGTGTTCCCACGCGGTCGCTTTTCCCACATTCGCACTATGGCGACGTGTATGATTCCTTTATGTCTCGATGCATATTAAAGATATCAAAGATTCAAAATTAACACCTCCGATATGAACATACCGAATTGTTTTTCTAAATCGGAGTAACAAATCGCAGTATTCCAAGCCAGGCGAACTTCTGGCTATATATAAGCACGTGTGTCTAGCACATACTATAGTATGTGCTAGACATAAAGCAACGAGAGCAAGATCTCCCAAATGGACAGAACCAGCAGAACCTACGTATATACAGTAGATATATGCATTCAGCTGGTTCTGTCCATAAGAATGACTCAAATAGCTCTGCTCCAACCTGTCGTAAAGTCTCCTAATTTGTTTTTTTTTTTTGCACACATTAAGGTTTTTGATAACCTTATTTTGAAATCCAGAATAATAAAAGTGGCAGCGACCTTAAATTTTAAAGTCCTATATTTAAGAGTTTGTGTTTTCGGAGTTGACTTCTCGCGAAACTTGGAGGGTGTTTTCCGCAGTTTATTTTTTCCCGAATATTCGGAGTTCATTTTTTGTTAGATTACGAATTAGGGAGTTCGAATAGTATACGAATTAGGGAGTTCATTTTTGTTATGTTTTCAAATTTTCAAGATTGAAAATAAAAATATATGTCAACCGGCCCGTCTAACCCTGTCCTAGATTTATAAGAACGCACGTGCACCACATGACATTTGCGCCCTTGCCTTTAGTACTACCAACTGTCCCACGACAAAACTTGAAAAAGACATGAAAATCACTGTACTCCTTGACGTGGTCGTTGGAAAGCTTGTTTTCTTTTCACCCTATTCTACCCCTTCTCCCTGCGCTGCGCGGGGTGAGTGGTGAAATAGAAGCGTCAGCCGTCCCTCCTATGGAATCTAAGAGTTCATTGTTTTCACGGTTATCAAATCACAACCCTACCTTCCTCTAAGAAGTTCAATCTGGGAACTGAAATAGTGATTTGTGTCGTGACCCAGAATTGCAATGCCCCGTTGTCCTGACCGAACCCTGGCGGTATAAATGATGAACCGTCTTTGGTCAATCCTACGCGATTTTGAAGGAATCTGAGGAGGCCTCTCCTTATGACCGCTGAGCCTGTGCTCTGACCAAACTTATTTGTAGAAAAGTGCCTGTTTGTTTCTTTTTGGTCATTCTGACCTCCAAATTCGGAGTTATTCGGATGAATTCGAATTTAAGGAAATTTTACCCGTGGGTGTTTTTCGGATTTTATCAGATTTATCCGAAAACACAGAACACTACAGCTATATTGCATGAAAGGCATATTTAAGAGCGATTTATTCCAATTGTTTTGTAGGCACCAAACAGTCGTTCCGAGAGCAAAGACTATTTTTATCGATGTTGGGGAAACTGAATTGCTGTGTCACGTGACCAGGGAAAGGGAGGGGAGGCAAGGCACTGCATGAGAATGGGGAGAGATAGGGAAAGAGAGGGAGAAGGGAATTGGGTCCAGGTAGGTGGAGAGAGGAAGAGAGAGGGGGAGGGAGGAACGGGGGAGGGAAGGGAGGTGGAAGAGAGGAGAGGGATCAGAAGGGAGAAATTGGAGTGTCATGTCATGTATATTTCCCCTGCTAAATTTAGCGGGAAAACTAGATTGGTGTTTCAGTTACGTGACGTCCATTATCCCGCTATATTTAGTGCAGAAACTGATCTGCGGAATAGGTAACTTTACGTCAATTCCCCACTAAATTTAGTGGGGAAACTCAATTGCTGTTTAGATCACAAGACTAAATTTTCCCGCTAAATTTAGCGGGGAAACTGAATCGACGTATAGTTCACGCGACCTAAAGTTTTCCACTTGATGTGTATGTCACGTGATTTTAGGTTACGTGACGTAAATTTCCTAGCTAAATTTAGCGGACAATTCAAGGACGGATGGAAGGACGGACGAAATGTTTGGATGGGGGGTTTAGTTAAAAAGCATTTCACGCTTTAATAAGAAAGAACAGCTCAAAAGTCCAGCCAGTGTATTCTCCAAACTGACACGCGGCGGGTTGGCGTCTGCAGGGGAACCTCCTCATGATGGACCACTTCCAGTACGTTGCCCTGCTGAATGGCCTCGTCGTGGAGCTCAAGCTGCAAGGAGTCATCTCGCTCGACCTGACGGGCAGCATCCAGATCTCCCTCTGGAACAGAAATTCACACTCCGTCGTGAAGACAAGGTTTCAGTCCCTTTTGTTTTACGTGCTAATGTTGCATGCGTGACAGAGTTGGATGCGCATGCTGGTTTCACGCGGGTTCGAATCCATCCGAAAAAGTTTCAGCGTGTACAATATGAGCTGAAACACTCCCTCGCGCTTCTTTGGTGTACGTGGAAGAATTTGAGAGAGCTGTGGACCGATCTAGGAATGGAATGTGAAGTTGAGGTCCCATATACTTCGGACTATTTGACAAATTGAGCGTTAACAGAGCGTGTGGAGACCGCAGACGCAGATAAAGGCCGGATTTGGTGATTTAGCTCAAATTGGACGTGCGGGTACGTTCACGCGAGCTATCGTGTGCTCTGGTTTCAGACCCTTCCGAGTATTGGACGTGCATAAAAGTAGCACCAGCACGCTGCATCGAATCAGTCTTCCGCCAGCGCTCGACGCTGCTATTACGGCCGACACTGATACCCGCGAGGCCAGTTACTGTAATCTTGTTTTGGCACAAGTTCGCCGCATTAAAGGTTTATTTTGCTCACACTCGTCATGCACGTGATACTCCTTGGGTAGCTTTTTCGCGGTTCACGGAACTGCACAAGCATTCCAGTCAGAGACGTATGTGGGCGCCGTGTATCGACGAATTGTTTGTCCTCCTATATTACAAATGTTGTTGTGATTTCGATCAAATTGTCAAGCTGAAGGTACAAGACGCGAAATATCAGGCGCGATCTATCACCGTGTTTTTCCAATTCTTTCTCGAAAGTTCGACACTTTTTTTTTTCTCGAAAGTTCTAAGCTACTGGCGTAAATTGCGCATGTTTTTTTTTTCTTCTTTTAATGAAGGTGGCAAAAATTATTACTTTCCACGCTCACATGCAAGTGTAAAATGCCCCCCAAAAGTGGCAACGCGTTGCTTGGTATAACGGTCACTAAACTTCTTCAGATTCCTTCTGTGAGTTGGCGAACATATATTATCATCAACCGCCAAAAAGTTAACCCCAGTGTGATACTCGCAGCAGCAATATGAGATTTTCACGTGTGAAGGGCATTTTTTCTCAAGTGCACCATTAACTCGATAATTATGAATAAAAATACGCATTACTCACTGAAAGAATATAACGATAATTGACTGATTGACAAACGGCAGTCGGCGACAGGTTAAGAACTAAGAAGCGGAAGCTTTCTGACTGATAGTATTTCGTCGCACGCAGAGCCAAAGCCCGGCGTAAGGCAAAGTGCGCCTGTTGGAGTTTTTATTACATTCTTAGTGTGTCACCGACAGTAGTAGTTTGACTCTAAGTAATAGAAACCGAACTCCATGGAGCGAATGTGCGGGGAAAAAAATACGACGATTTTCGCCCGGTGGCGTTTTCTCTGCGCGTGGTGTCAAAGCAGTGGCCGTTGCGCCGCGCAAACAGCGATCGTGCTGCCGGGAGAAGTTCGGCGGTTGTTCGCCGCATGAATGCGCACACTACGAGAGCTCAGTGGCACGGAACCCACTGATAACAATTGGCGGATTTCACCCTGGAAGCGTGGCTATATGGAGCGCAAGTTCGTCTGCTTCTTTTGCTGGGGCTGTGGTGACGTCAGAACTACGAGCTCTGATTGGCTCTGATTGAAGGATAGTGGGTAGACCTGAAAGCAAGCTGCCTTGAGGTCTACCTCTATCCTTCAATCAAAGCCAATCGGACATCGGCGTTCTGACGTCACCACAGCCCCTGCAAAAAAAGCAGACGAACTTGCGCTCTGCATAGCATGTACGCAGTCATAACTCATAACCATTCTAATTTTTTTTTTCTTTTTTTGCAGTGGCGCTGCGTTGGTGCAAGCTTCGGCGGCACTGAACAGCGGAGCAGCTTCGAGTAACATTCAGGTTAACGTCGCCGGGGACACGCACCTCGAGTTCATAACCGACCTGGAGTTCTACGAGAAGCCCTACAAAATGTGCATCCAGATGACACAACCGGGCTTGGTTCTAAGGTGTGCAGCTGCCCCTTTGTTGTTTATAGTTTTAATGCGGATTCATTAACTGTCCCATCGACCGAAGCCGGCGTTGTCTGTAGCTGTCTGTAGCAGCGAAACGGCAGTTAAATTCCCAATGGCCAAAAGCACAGCAACGCAGATGGTTCGTCACGGAAGCTGTGGAGCCGGCGGGGTTCGCCCCACCTGCTCAGTGGGGGAGCGTGATGTCACCGCCGGAGCGCCGCGTGAAAAAGGAGGACGTGGCGCGCTGCTTGTAGAAATGCGCTGCCCGTAGGAATGCTCTCACATTCCTACATGTAAGCATTCTTGTGTGTCTTTAGCGCACGCTATATTTTTTTTAACGCTTCGTCATTTATTTAAATTTTATAATCACTATTCATAAACAGTAATGCGGGATTTGGCGCATAAAATCCCAGAGGTCTCGGACGGAAACTTTACGCTCCGTCCGTGATGTTTGGCCCACGTTCTGCAGTTAAGATTTTCCAGGCCAAAATGTGTTGCCCTTCTTTCCAGAACGAACAACCAGCGCTTTTTCTGCTTTTCCCGAGTTATCGCACGCATTTCCTGGTTGTTTTTGTTTCCGCATGATTCCCGCAATTGCCAAAGGCAAGAGGATAGTAGCTTTCGACCTGCCATCCAAGAAATTTTTTGTTTTGTCCATTGACAAAAACAATTAAGATTTGTCGTTTGAATATTTTGAAGGACATAACTTTAAAGGGCGATTTGGCTGATGCAGTATGGACCAATCATGTCATGCCTACCTTACAATACCCCATCGTGTCGAAGCTGGAAGGATTGTTTGTTTTTTATCTCCCAAAGGGCGAGTCTGCAGCATGTTTGAGAATGTATAAATAGTTTTTTTTATCTGGCACATTACACAAGAACGTGTGAACCTGATGCCACGCCGCCTCAGTGGTGGTACTGTCTGCGCGGCGCATACTCGGGCGATTCTCGCGAATATGGTATCTGCGCATGCGCAGCGCCCACGCCATGTTTGAGCAAACGCGGACATGTTTGTAATTGGCGTGTTGGCTTATACATGGCCGACAACTCGTGAGCTATGTCGCAGCGCCTAACGGGTGTGTTCTCGTACTTTTCCTTCATCGCGTGTTACAGGCACAACGTGCGCAAGCACGAAGGGGTGACCGGGCGCAAGCACCTGGTGCGGACGCTCAAGAAGCGATCTCAGACCATCGCCGGCAAGTCGTACGCGCTGCACCGGAAAAACTGTGAATATTGCTCAATCATGCTGGCCGAAGTATGAAAGTCGTCTAGGTTGTCACAATCCAATTTTCTCGCAAGAATATATGATGTTGCCAATGCCGAAAATAAAAAAAGGCTGTTTTTATTTTAGTTCTGGGTCTACCTTGTTCCGTTCTGCGTTTATGTGAGTTGTAAAGCAGCGCGCTCACTATGGGTCCGGTCCTTTTTTGTGTTCCAACGTGCGCTTTTGCTCGGGGTGTTCCCCTGTTCCAGAATCAAATGTTGAATTTTGTGTGAATATCGAGACACTGCTGCCTCGTACTGTAAATTTGTGTTTCGATTTGTTAATGTGAACTTATTTTAATATGAACGATAAAATCATTACGCTCGTGAAACACTTTCGAGAATGTACACGAACGCGGCACTTTATTCCCTAAAGTCGGCGATGATCGTGGAGAACGCACTACGGAATGCAAAATAAGCTTGTCTGTGTGAGTGACCTCCTGCAGTCTTCATGAGACTTGCTGTTCTGTGAAGTGCAACATTGCAAGTTGGTCATGGAGGTTATTTTTTTTTAATTATTATTATTAGGTATTATTCCTGCGATAGCAGTTAGTGGGACACTTGGCGGGTTTCGCGCCGTCGATCGCGCTCCATATCGACGCAGACCACTTTTGGCACTCTACCAAGAGATGCCACATTGACGTCACGCCGCTTACCGTCACGCCGCTCGACACGACCCTCATGTCACGCCGCGCATCCTGTTACGTGGCGTCACCTGACACCATGATGTGACGTTGTCATGTAAAGTCACGTTGCACCGTGATGCCACACGACTTAATGACGTAAGGCGACATTGTGAGTCACGCAATGACATGACGTCACATGACACTGATGTCACGTGACATTCAGAAGTCACGGGACAATACGCCACGTGACACAATTACGGCATGCAGAATCATGAGCATGAGACTGCTGATAATGGAAACTGTAAAAACAGCGTTTTCGCTAACTATGCCAGAGGGGTTCTCGGGCGATGAAACCAATAAGGCTAGGTGGCTGTTAAGCCGCCGAAGCAACGGGCGTGAAATTACGTGCAGCGACACGCTTGAAACTTAAGAGTGCGATTTCGGAACTTCAGTGACCACAAGACGGTGTTAGTTTGTGTTCAATAGCATTGCATAAGACGTTCAGGCAGTCCCACCAATGACAGGAAACGGTTTGTGCATACACATGCAATTTCGGCAATTTCGTCGTTCCCTGCGGATTTCAAACTTGGGAGCGCGATTTTCGAAGTGTCCTGCAATTACCACAAGGCAGCCCTAGTTTGTTTCCAGTAAAATTGTTTAACAGGTTCACGAAATGCTTTCTACTTAATACACCCACATTGGTTCCAAAACGCTACGGAATTTTCGTCCGGTGTGTTATTCGGCTTAATACGAAAACGCCTATACGAACTCAATGGTGCACGCTCGCACCTTTGCCGTTCATTCAGTTCATCTCCTTCGGAATTGCACCTTAGTGGCTCCGCCGTCGCCCCTCAGCTATCGCAGTATTTCACTTTAACGGTTGCGTAAGTTCCCTGCAATCAAACTTTTGTTATCGACTTTTTTTTTTTTTTTTCTTTCTTCAGAGAGCAGTTGCATTGATTTTGCGTACCACAAAACATGAGTTCAAAGCGGGTTATTAAAGGCATGGCGTAGCTCACTGGTAATCGCTCCGCTTCGCACGAAACGGACCCAGGTTCGATTCCCGCGGGCGGCAGGCAATATTTTTCAAGGACTTGGATACAGCGACGACGAACATCGCCAACTAGAACATCAACAACGACAACCACTACAACATGTACAACTACTACATCAACAACGGACATGATTTCCAGAGGTGGGAAGAGCCCGTAACACCTATCGCTGTAAAAGAAAACAGAGAGTAAGGCAATCACAACTCCAAGAGGTCGCCAAGCGAGCATCTGACCGCTGCCATGTCTCTGCTCAAGTGAACAAGAGCATACAATTGTAAGCCTGCCTCAGTATGTTCCTTTCAGCGTGTCCTACACATGTTTGCACGCATTGGGCGCCATCGCAAGACTCCTTTCGAAAGGCTTCTTTCGCTCAGCATTCTGTTTCATAAAATCCCTATATTGCACGAGGAGCTATGCTGAGCGGAAGTGGTAGCCAATGTCACGAGAGCACAAGGTCGCTGCTTTGAGAAGTTCTTCCGCAGAACGAGCACCCGCGCTAGAAATGCACGTCTCAAAGCCAGGACCGCGGGTCAGCTCGAGCTTGTAGCTTTGGCTGCTGTCTCAGCTAAAGTGTGAACGAAGGATAGTCACGACTCACAGGTGCATCGAAAAGTAATGCGGGTAAGAACTGAGGGAGAAGAGGAAATGAGAGCGCCCGGGGACGTGAGAGCAGCGTGCTCTGGTTGGAATGATTAGTGGGTAGACGCAAAGTTAGCTATTTTGTCTCTGCTCAAGGGCTGTTTACACTCCAACGCCCACGAACGCAACGCGCGCCGGCGCAGACCGACATTCGTCGGCTACTACGCCGCGCCGAGAAGCGCCCGAACGATGGTGTTTACAGTCCAGCGTAGACCAACGCTGGTCCAACGCGCCCCAACGAACTGCCCCACTTTGCGGATGCGCGCCTCCGGTGCAACCGCATCGTCACTACGGGTTAACTTCTTGGCGCAATATGGCCAAAGTTGCTCTTGCGCCAATAAACCCCAAACATCATCTACGGGTTATCTATGGGCGGTAGCTTGCGCCACCTAGCCTAGATGCAATCGCTTAGTGTGGTTCGTCCACGTGTTGTCATGTCACGCTTCAAAACAACCGTTTGGGGTAGTGGTTAGCAGTTCAAAAACAAGCAATTGATGGCGAGAACGGGTAAAAACCAGCATTCATTTCCTCCTAACTGTCACACAAATGTAAAAAAAAAAAATCCTGAGATTGCGTTGGTCGAATCCAGCTGCTTCGCAGGTTCGCCGGAATCGTTCCAAGTGACTCCGGCGATTCCGCCGGAATGCTTCGATGCACTCGATATTTCACGGAGACCTCTTTCTGAGAGATAGTCGGTGTGTTATCATCATAGTAGACTTTCACGCTGACTTAAGAAATGGCCACCGAAGAGAGCGGACGCAATGTACGCGTTCGAAATTGTGACGCACTTTACAAACAATAGAGGATTCAGTCCAATTGTCATCGCGTAGGCTACTATCGTTTACAAGCTGAGACAGCCCAATTGAAAATATCTGGCAGGCTAAATAGTTCAGAGGTTTCACTGTGTCCGCCATTCCCGTACATTCGACGACGCTTTTTCGATAGGGAACAACTGACAGTGAGTGCAACTAGCACATGATTATAAATAGCACACACATTAGGGCATTCTTAATTCTAATTAACCCTACCTTTGGCGCGTCATCGAGCTTCCAGCTTTTGCCGGCACCCCAACACCACGGCCCACCCGCCCACCACCACCGGCTCGTTAGGTCGATAGGCGTATCGAGAACTGAAGCTATCGCATCCTCGGAGCGGTCCACGTCCACGCACACACCCTCCCAGCCAAGCGCACGAACGTTAAATACGCACACCAACACGGGAACACGACAACAGCACACGACACACGGCAAGAACGACAAGTTCAGATCCCAGAAATGAGCATCTCGCACACTCCGACTCGCCTCGACGACAGGATGAGGCATTCGCGCGGGGGCTTCTGGGATAGCCTCCGTCGGCGCCGTCGTCTTCCAACGTTGAACGTAGAGCATGTCCAAGTCCGTCGTAAGCTACGCTGTCGCGCGTCGAGCTGCTCAGCGCGGCGCCGCGTTCAACTTGACGTTGGAGTATAGACACTCCGTTCGCAGACATCGTCAGCGAGCGTGAACCAGCGCGTGCGCTCGTTGACGTCATGACGGAGTATAAACAGCCCTTCAGTGTTCGAACGCGTTCGACGTCCGGACGCCCGCGCGCTCTTGATTTCATCCTCTCCCTCAATTTCTACCCGCCTAGGTTCAGCTTTCTTCAGCCGTACTGAACTTCGCCGAAGCTGGCTTTCCCTCACGAAGAGATATTTTGAGGGAAAGCCACCTTGCGGTAGTCGCCTCCTGACTTCGACCCGTTTGCTCTCAGAAGACTCGGAAACAAGTCAAGGGAGACATTGTAAAAAAAAAAAAAAAAAGTTTGCGCGCGCCGTTTGACGAATTATGGGAGTCCTCTGTACGCTGCTCCCATCGTCTTTCTTTCCGCTACCACGTGGCACACGCGAGCAGACGTAGGTTAGGTTAGGTTAGGTTCGAGCAGCCGAGGCGTACGTGCACTGAATTGGAGAGGGTATCGCATTGGCTAGCTTGCGAGGCTGCCCCTTTCTCAATTCTCTGCTTTACTCTGGCTCTGTCGTCTGCCATACTATTGTTTGGTCAAACCTAGCTGAACCCTGCCACGGTTGCGGTTTAAAATGGGTGAAATTGGTGACAGTGGAAGCGGCAGCAAGCTAGCCAACGCGACACCCTCTTCCCCATTTCCATGCGCTCGTCCGGCTTGGCTGAACGCCATCTCTCTGCTCAAGCAGCGTTGCCTTAATAACCTGCGTCTGCTCGCGTACGTCACGTGGTAGCGGGAGGAAAAACGATGACAGGAGCGTACCAAGGACTCCCATTGATCGTCGCGTGGCGCGAGCGGGCTTTATGAATTTTGGCAAACGGTCTATTGGTTCCAAAGCAACGAGATATCAGTCTATACTGTTTATGTGCAACCAAACTCTGTGACACGCGGCCTTCTTCATATTAAGCCTATATCCCAATGCAGGCACTCCGACCGGGGAGTTGACCCCCCCCCCCCCCCCCCCCCCCCTCCAATGGAACTTTTGCAAAAAATCCCCAACTGCTCGCGCGCGAAGTACTGTACGTTGACAATACTTCGCGAAAGAGACTACTGGAGAGAGCAAGAGTGTAAAAAGAGAAAAAAAAAATGGTTGCACAGTTGTTCTCCTGCCCTCGCCCGCTCGGTTGCATTTTCTCCGCCACCTCTATCGTCTGCTACAATCGATTATGTACATACCATTCCGGGCTGTCCTTTGGGCGTCACGTACGGTGCTGCACGTTTTGCAACTGATATATTAGATGTCCGTCAGTCGTCGTTTTTCCCCGGGGAT